TAAGTCCTGCACTTCAAGTAAAATCAAATTTGAAAGGCTCTTGAGTCTATTCTACCATATTTCCAAAGACTTTTTAAAGTTTAAAAAATAATTGTATTAAAGTTTTGTTTTTTCATGTGATATGTTCAGCACTGTCATTAAGTTTAGGGATATTTTGTATTGTAAAACTACCATACAGGTCATTTTGATAGTTTTAAGAGATGTCATGTAAAACTCCAACCTGTGTAGATATACATTATACTATAAAGGATATCAGAAGCACTATTTTAGATATTTTAAATTTGAAAAAATGAGGTGCAACATAGTTGACAATGAAAGTCAAACATTTGACGCAAATAACATAGTTGACTGGACACATTATTAACCATCAGCACTATGTTAATTTCAAGGCAGAAGTGCAAAATTCCATTGATAATGATGTGTAATGACGTCTACATGTCGTACAAATTGTCAACTAGGTTACCTGTCAACTAAGTTACTACAGTTATTACAGTACTGGGTAACTCAGTTGACAGGTAACCTAGTTGACAATTTCCCTATTTTGACCCATCATTTCAATGGTAGGCCTTGCCTGGATGACCACATGTCATTTTCTTGAACAGGTTAACATCACATTTGCACATATAATTGAATTAAAATCATTAAACAATTGTAAACCATAACAATGTACGTAACATTGTTGATTGTCAATGAGTATATTAATTGACCATGTGCTATTATACATAAAATATTGTAAAAATGTAGAGGACAATCACCACAGTGTGTTCAAAATGTCTGCCAAAGAGGAACATGGCATCATGTGATGCTGGTGACATGGTATTGGGACAAACCATTTTTGAGTTAAAGGGGGAAGTTCTGTTAGTAACATAGTTGACAGAACTTTTGCGGACATTCATATATTAAGATATTTAAATTATTTAAAGGGGGAAATCAATTAAAAATATGTTATTATTCTTTAGTATTTAGACTTTTGAAATAAATGAATCATTTTTTAAATTTACTTTAATGGTTTTTATTCATTATTTTGAATCCAAGACACCCTCAACTGAAAAACGGACATAGCAAAAACTGACAATTTAAGAACATCATGACACATTTCAAGCTAAATAAAGCATAGGATGCACATAATGTTTGTGTGATATTATAACATGCTTTCCAATAATAGGCAAAATATGATATTTTTGAAGAAAATAGTTAGAATAATTATAATTATCATCAATGGACATCAATGGACATGGAATGTACCCTAAATTGTAGAATCACTCAGCAGTTACATACACCAAACCTTCCAGTTATATTCCTATCAATATTATGAAGGCTTTTACAGAAGGGTTTGGTCATATATAATTCATAGCCTGAATTATATAACATTTTATACCTAAAAACATGGTGAAAATTGATATTTTAGGGCTGTTGACAGTATTTTCTGATTTATGGAGTGATACAAAGAGATATCCAAAATCCCTTCTGTAAAAGCCTTAGATACTAATATGACTACAAAATGAAACAATAATTTTGATCCTGGCTTTATCCAAAGTTCAGATTTCGGTTCCTGAAATGTGTTAAAATATGCGCATATTTCATGAGATAATGGTTCATTTGGATATTTAAACATGCTATTTCAGAAAACTTGTAATACAAAAAACAATTGCCTTATTGTAAGTAATTAACTGGAGAAATATTTAGCTGATATCTTTAAGTTAAAAATACCCTATTCACCTGGGGTGTCTCACCTTAATTAGATGTTTGATAAGTGCAGATCACATAGTAAAACACGTACACAGATACATTATTTTGTATTTTTATTAAATTCGACAATGTCAATTTCACTTTCCACTATGTCCACCGTTGTTTTTCACAACCAATGGCAGAACTTTATTGAGGCCTGTAATTAGTCAACTACAGGTCTCTTGAGTCAGTCTTTTTCTTCCAAAAAGCTTGTGACAAGATGTTATTGCTCTTGGGGCATTAAAAACAAGATTTTAACTTTAGTTTTTTATATAATATCTGCATTTTCTATTGTGAAAAACTAAGTCTTAGTTATTTAATATATAGCGCCATCTCCTGGTTAAACCCTGCAATTGGAGAATAGTGGGAGGGCCTAACATTCCTGAATACTGGTCTTTGGCAGGCAACTGGCTGGCAACTGGCTGGCAGTCGGCAGGAAGCTGTATGCTGGGGTCCAAAATAAGAGGCTCCATCTGTATATTTTTTAAATATATTTTCCATTACAACTTGGTTATTACAACCTCTCAAATCAGTCATTACAACTTCACGAATCTGCTCTGTGGCAGTATAAATCGACGAATCTGCGGCCTTGACTTTTGCTACACTTCTTGCGATAAATGTGTCGCAAAAGTAATTTTCACCTGTAGATGTGGGGGGAGGGAGGGGGGTTGGAGCGAAGGGGCGGAGCTATCACAACGACGAGGCTCGGGTCAGTCACACAGTCACAGCCATAGTCAGGTCGAACCAGATGACTGCGGGGCTAACGGTCCGTGTCGCTACCAGTCCGCTGACATGGCGCGTCAATCAACGGTAAGTTTTGCACATTACTTCCCCAGTATTACTTTCAATATTATTATTGTGAATGAGGATTAAATCCGCTTTGAAGACCACCGTTTTATATTGTGCAGTTTAGCGGCAAAATAACGTCAGTTAGCCAGCTAACGCTAGCTTTGTTGAGTTTATGCTAGCTAAACAAGTAGGCAGTGACGTGCGGTGAGGTTCATGGCTGGTGAGGCACTGAGTCAGATTTACAAATATTATATTTTGACCTTAATCGAAATATTCGGTTATTTTCAAAAGCTTTTTTAGTCTGATGCTTCGATTCATTTTAAACAGACTGTTCAACAAAAGGATACCCAAAATCTAAATATTGGATTGTTCTTTCTTAGTAAGATCCCATTTTCATTACAAATGTGGTCTTACCTTGACTTGAAGATGAAGTCCATGCTATCCTTCTGGACAACAATCTCTATTACTTTTTTGTAAAAGTCCTCCTTATCTTCCTGTAGTTTCAAAAGTCTAGTTTGTTGTTACGTCTACCGTCTCTGCGTAGAATTACAGTAGCAACAAGAACCTGTGGGCTCACGTGCGCCCCCTTCAGTGCGGCAGAGGTTATGGCTGCCTCCCCTGGTGCATTTTCATTGCCGTTGATACCAGCGAGCCTAAATATCATATATACGTGAAATAAGTTATTTAGAGACTATGGATGGCGAGGATAAATGTAATAAAGGGATCTACAAACATTACATTGGTGACCTACAGTGAGATGGTAACAGGCATGCACTTAGGGCCCGCTTTCCAGCCAGTTTCTGTGGGGTGACGCATTCTGAGGTGAGGCAGATCTCATCTGTGCCTCAACTCAGCCCACAGTAAATGGCTTGAGCGCGCTCACAAAATAAGTGCCCGCGCTGCATTAGTGCCCGCGCTCCAGCAAGTTACTGTGGGCTTACGAGAGGCAGAGCACGCCCCTGCCTCACTTGTCATCGCTCCCGTAGCGGAGCTCGGCAAATTTGCTGATTTTGACTATAAAAAGCGATTAGAATCATACATAAATCACACTTACAACACAGATCAGTGGAGACATTTTATTATTATTACTATTTCGTTTTTCTTTAGTTGTTTTTCCGTTACATTGGAGTATGACAGGTGAGGCTCTGCCTCCCCTGCCTCCACTGACTGCACGTCACTGCAAGTAGGCTAGTGGTTGTAGTCTATACAGCAGTAATTAATATATTATAGCCTACTGCTTTGGCACTAACGGTTGATAACCGTTTATGAAAATAAAACCAATTTAACTGTACTGAAATAATGACCAGTTTTATAATTGTCTTGGGCTCCTGCTGTGTTTTTCAAGCCTTTGTAAATTGTAAAGACATTGAAACTGCGGTGAGAAATCTCCTCGGCTGCATCGGGAGAAACCGAAATGTGCAGGTTGTTACTTTGAATATTATTATTGTGATTGAGGGGGTGGGGGTTATATTTTAGTTACACTTTCTCGGCGGAGCTATCCATAACGTTTAATGTGGAATGGGAAAAATGCGTATTCTTGAAGACTGACAGAATACCAATAACTCATGGATATTTATTTTTCAGGAATTGCTGCTGGACCATTTATTCCAAAGGCTTGAAACCCGACTAAATCTGTGGCTTAATCGAGTTCCCCTCGATATGGACTATCTGGAATTTGTGTGTTCCCAAGAGCTTGTCTTTCTCAATGCAATTTCAAGCCAAGTACAGATTCCCCAGGAAGTTCTTGATGCAATGTCCCAATTGCATGAAATGGTCTGTGTCACTACCCGATCTGTCCCCCTGCCCGATCTGTACTGCGCATGTGCGAGATGGTCCGCCATATTGGACAACTACATACGGCAACTCTACTAGGACACTTGACACAGTGGCTTTTGGCAAAGCAGAAAAAGAACCGAGAGAGATTATTGTTATTACAACGTGACTTCACTATTATTTAACAACTCTTTTTATTGGGTTCTTTTATTTGGGGTTAAATACATTGTCAGAATAAGTGAGACATGGATTTAACTTCTGTTAGACAGCTATCATACTGAATAAATATTTACTGTGAATGTATGCAAAAATGTATGGCATATAGCTGTCTAACAGAAGTTAAATCCATTTCTCACTTATTCTGACAATGTATTTAACCCCAAATAAAAGAACCCAATAAAAAGAGTTGTTAAATAATAGTGAAGTCACGTTGTAATAACAATAACTCATCTCTCTCGGTTCTTTTTCTGCTTTGCCAAAAGCCACTGTGTCAAGTGTCCTAGTAGAGTTGCCGTATGTAGTTGTCCAATATGGCGGACCATCTCGCACATGCGCAGTACAGATCGGACAGGGGGACAGATCGGGTAGTGACAGTCTGCACCCAAAATCAAACCATAACACCCACAATTGTTGCACATGAGCAGGGGAGTTTGGGTCGTCCAAGGACACTGATCGATGAGGAATACACAACAAACCTTATTAACTTGGGATTACCGGTGACATGCATTGCCAGGCTGTTAGGAGTTTCAAGGCATACGCATGACAGAATGGGGAATAACTGTTAGGGAACAGTACACTGTAAAATGTTTGGCTGTACAATTACAGTATCCTTGAATCACCTCCATTTGCATGTCCGGCATTGGCAGCTCCCAGCCCACCCAGAATTTCACCAACTGCTTCCGCTTGTCTTCAGTCACTGAATAAGGGAGATGTCAAAGAAAGAGAGGAGAACAACTGTTAGATATACATCCAGAGGAGCATATAGACAAGCTCAGTCATAAAAACATTTCCCATGTGATATCTGAATATCTAATGCAGCACCACTGTACTAGGAGATCTCAAGTTATTCATTTGCAAATGGATTGATAATTCATAACTCACTACAATGTCTCTTTTATGATGTAGTAATTACTAAATGTTATATAAGTATAGTAATATAAATAAGTATGAAGTATATACAGCAAATTGACTGTATCAAACCTAACAATTTCCTCTCATTCGCCAATAACACATGCGCTCACCAATAGCCATTACGCAAGGTGCTGGCCTGAGCGTCACAAGCAATGTGGACATGAGTCTTGCTTTTAACCCTTTTCACAGTTAAACAATAGAGCAGTTTGGCACATGTGTTGCAAGAAAAAAGTTAATCAATTGTTTTTATAAAAAACAAGTGATTTTTAATAATGTTCTCCTGAAGCGCAGATGGAAAATGTTGCATAAGAATACAGTTGTGATATGGCTTTCAACATGTTCCATAACGAACTTGCAGATCCTCAGACAACCAGGAGAGTACAAAATCAAAATACCTGTCTCCACAAATTGCCGCAAGTTGCCAGCAATTCTGCATTTGATGGCAACAGGACATCCATCGTCATCTTCATTATCCCCTTCTCCAGGCCAGATGATGTTGTTTAGAACCATCTAAATGTAACATTCACAAATATTAAAAGAAAGCCAAAATGGGTACAATGTCAATTAATTAAAAAATATTAAAATTGTATCAATATAAAACAGAATACCTAAGCACTGCATTCAGCCTTAGATTGACGTGGGAAGACAATGTCTACCACATCTGGTCTGGCTTCCAACAGTGGCCACAACATTGACTCTTGCAGTCCCTTCTTCAACTGTTTAATTTGTTGTGATGTTCGCCTGAGCACCTACGTATGTTTAAGATAAAAGGATTTTTCAACATCCACATTAACATATGCACCAAGGATAGCTTACAATGCATGCTAGGCTAGTATAGAGTATTGCACATTCAGCTGAACTAACAGTTTATGGAAAGAAAACCACAATAAGCAATCCCTTTTCTTAATTATGTAAAACGTAGTGGTCATTTAACCTTACCGCATGCAGAAGGAGACTTTGTAGGAGCCAAGCTTGGTTGGTTTCTGTCAATACAGGAAGGTCCCAAGATAATGCCAAATCATTGACAGCTCCCCTCTGATGCTCCGTCAGCTCATTGTCTCCTCTCTCACCATTTGCCTTCTTGGAGCAATCAGCTAGAGAAAGCTTAATGGACAAAGTTGAAAAAGTTATACCACTATGGTGAAATGCTTTGATGTTTTAATGTGGCATTCATTCTATATTTTCCACTTCAAACCTACCAGCTGAATTGTTTCCCGGATGTCAATGTCTGCCACATCTTCCAACACTAGGGTTGCTGTCTCAGGGGAGCCACCGAGCAGCACATGCAGGACTGCTGGGTTTATACCTGTCAATGGAGGACCACCATGTAGAAAGGAGTGTCCAATCATCCTCCCAGCCATCTTGAACAAGTCACTCTGTACAAGCACTTGGGAGGTGCAGGGGATGAGGTGGTCAACCTGGCCCTCAAAAAGCAGAGTGCTGGTACCATGTCCTTCATTGACATAAACAAAAGCATAGGACAATATTTGTAAATATCACTGATATTTTTATAGTGCTATATAAATAAAACTAAATTGAATTTAAACTTTGTCCAAATGACTTGCCAAAATGTCCTTTGAATCCCTTGTGCAACTTGGTCATCATCATGCTTAATAAATGGCGTTTCACGCCCTCACCAGTAGCTGCATCACCTAAAAAATTAGAACATTTTAATGATAGCAAGGTATCTGAAATTATAAGAAAAAGCCATAATTATAAAAAACATTTGAGTTTATAGCCTTGCCAAGTTAGATTTTGGCTATCCTTTGATGACTTGACAAATTAAGCTACTAGGTCATAATGCAGGTGCAATGTATTTGTTAAATGTATTAACCTTCCAATCTGCACTGGAGTGGTCTGGCCCAATCTGCGTTGTGGACCTTGTAAAAGGTGATCATTCTTGCTTCCTGATCCTCAATGTCCTCTTTCATGTCTAAACACATTTTCAGCATTGGTTCATCTTCTTTTTGCTGTAGCAAATTCCTTTTGTATAGCATCGCTGCCCTTTCTGGAACTTCCACCCTTTTCCAGGCTGAAAAATATTTTTGTCACATTTGGATTTTAATCACACAGGGAATATGTATTCACATTCTGTTGTTTGGAGAAAGTAAAAACCCACCGTCAGCTATTGAAGGTACTGTTCTTGGTAGAATGGTTTGAGATGTGCCAGGTGCCAAGTAGCCAGAACCATGTGGGCTGGCATTGTTACTTCCAGTAAAAGTGGGTGTGGAATCTTCTGGTACTGAAGTGCTTTCCTCAGATTCATCCGCAGTTGGGCAATCCATCAATGAGAAGCTAGATGAAAAAACTAATTTCAAATTTTTTGTATTTATTAGTATCAGTCTTCTAAATTGTAATAATATCTAATGGTGAGGTGGCCAGAGATTCCCACCCCTACTATTCATGAATAACAGTCAGCCTGTTTTTTTTCTTTCTAACCTTGTACCATTAGCAGTAGTTACACTAAACATGTTGAATCTTCCGCGGAGTGTGTCAGTGAGACAGTCGACCCTTACTGTCGCTGGTTCTTAGTTGTTGAGTTGGTCTGCTGGAGCAGCACTTGTAATTGGGAAATATTAAGTGTCAACTAGTAGTTATATCCAGTGACAGGTTGACAATACCTTTCTCCACATGAACTTGCATGGAGGGACATCACCTCAGCAGCAAACCGCTCTCCGCATATTGGGCAGGAATCCTAGGAAGTTAACAGGGGTTCAAGTTATCACTCTATCGACATAGCTTATGATACAAGGTACAGTACATAAGATGAAAATATATTAGACACTCTTTGTTCATGGTCATGCCCACCAAAACAGCTTGTGCTCTGTTCATTTATAGATTGTGACCTTTTCTTTTTATAGTCTCTACAGTGAGATTGGCATTGAAATTGAAAACGGAATTTTGTTTCTAATTAAGATACAGTATTATATATTATATATATTATATATGATATTAAGATATCGAGTGCGCTAGAATTTGAAAATACACAGCTGGAAAAAATCTGCCACTTCCTTACAGAAGTGTTCCTTCCATCCGCACAGATGGAAGGCTGACAGGCAGGTAGGCCATCCAGTTATTTTAGCCGGGCCAGCTAAAATGATTGGTCGTGCTTTTTACAGTACTACGGTTTCCACAGATGACATTTTTTTATGGATTTTTTGTCAAAGCACTTAAGATATTCATTGCTATCGGGATGTTAAGAGCATTCCATGGAATATAACAAAAAGTGTATCTCGAGCCGGTTTCTCAAACGTACCTATACTTACCTTTAAGGTCACAATTCTATTCTATATCCTTTTGTTTGTTGGTCTTCTTGTTATATTTGTAAGCACAGATGGCAAAGCCATGTTAGACTAGTCTGGGATCATTGGTTGTATGCCATGATAACATGCTAAAATATTTTAATTTAATTCTTAGTTCAAAAGATGGTGTCTCTTGGGTGACATAATCTCCAGTATTCGTGAATGTACCACACTGTGGCCTTATCGTCAAATGTTTATAATTTGCACTCTTCAGGGCAGATGCCATTCAGGTTCACAACAAAACTAAATTAAAAGCTGGGTTTCCAGCAGCGCTCTATAGTTAAGGCGGGCACCTATACAATGCATGCCCCCTGCTGTAACCATAGACTGTAACTGTAACTAGTTACAGTCTATGGTTACAGCAGGGGGCATGCATTGTATAGGAAAAAATACTTAATCATACTTGTCGCTCCTTAGTCCTATTAATGCAGTGTGGTGTCCGTGTAACTGTAAGGAATATGCAATTAATAGGGAGGCGTGTGGCGCAGTGGATAGAGCCTTGGTGTTGGGATAAGGGGAGCACAGGTTCAAACCCCACTGCAGTCAGCATGTCGTTGTGTCCCTGGGCAAGACACTTCACCCCAAATTGCTCCTGTGGGGATTGTCCACAGTATTGAGTATGTAAGTCGCTTTGGATAAAAGCGTCTAACAAGTAACATGTAATGTAATGTAATACGTTTCAACTTCATTTTTGGAGAACATGTGTAGGTGGTCCAATAATGCATCTAACATCTTAATCCGGACGTTTTTCCTCCAAAACTGCATATGCACAGTTGTTCAATGTGAAATTTTCTGATGAATGTTTCATGATGGAAAAAAATGACATAGGCCTACCTCTGCATGATCAGCATCATCTGCAAGATTCACTGTTCTCCTTCCTAGACCTGCCTGCAGCAGAACGGTCTCATCTCGAGAAGTCCTATCGATGTTTTCAGGATGCAGGCAGAACTGAAGCTCTAACATCTTTATGGATGATGATGGTCTAAGAGCTTCAGGTGCCTTTCTTTTATGCCGTGTCCTGTTTCCAGAATATATTCCTGGAAAGGATCTAGAAGGAGATAGAAAAAGGGGTTGGTGGGCTGTTAGTCTTGGGACACTGAATATCAATAAAAGATAGATTATTCAATTTGTCAATATTACTCACATTGACATGGTCAAAACCCAAAATCACAGAATTGGGTTTCACATTTCCTTACCTTAGCATCTCCTGCTGGACTGTTCTCTGATGAACGGGCTGGCTGACCCCAACCGAACTAGCAGCACTTGACCGTGCTTGAGGCTCTACTGGCCTACTAGTTCCAGGAGAACTGCCCGAAATCGGCGGGGTTACCACCCCGCCACCCTGCACATTTCTCCCGATGCAGCCGAGGAGATTTCTTACCGCAGTTTCAATGTCTTCGTTCTAAATAGAAAATAGCATGGATAATTTACAAAGGCTTGAAAAACACAGCAGGAGCCAAGACAATTATAAAACTGGTCATTATTTCATTACAGTTAAATTGGTTTTATTTTCATAAACGGTTATCAACCGTTAGTGCCAAAGCAGTAGGCTATAATATATTAATTACTGCTGTATAGACTACAACCACTACTTGTTTAGCTAGCATAAACTCAACAAAGCTAGCGTTAGCTGGCTAACTGACGTTATTTTGCCGCTAAACTGCACGATATAAAACGATGTTCTTCAAAGCGGATTTAATCCTCATTCACAATAATAATATTGAAAGTAATACTGGGGAAGTAATGGGCAAAACTTACCGTTGATTGATGCGCCATGTCAGCGGACTGGTAGCGACACGGACCGTTACGCCGCCTACACACGGTGGCGTGCGTTGCCGCTTGGCGGTGGGCGTGTCTTGAGCTTGGGGAGTTTACGCGAGCAACGCGACCAACAACCAATCACATGAATCTCTGCTGTCAATTGCATAAAAGGTTTTACATGTCACACTTTATATGATAAACATTTATGACATTAAAGGTGGGGTAGGTAATTTTGGAGAAACCAACTCGAGTGCGCTAAAATTTGAAAATACACAGCCGGAAAAAATCTGCTACTTCCTTACGGAGCCCCTCCTGCAACACACACGAACGCGCACATGACCAATGAGGGCACGAGATAAGCTTGTGCACAGATGGAAGGCTGACAGGCAGGTAGGCCATCCAGTTATTTTAGCCGGGCCGGCTAAAATGATGGGTCGTGCTTTTTACAGTACTACGGCTTCTACAGATTAATTTTTTTATGGATTTTTGGGTCAAAGCACTTAAGATATTCATTGCTATCGGGATGTTAAGAGCATTCCGTGGAATATAACAAAAAGTGTATCTCGAGCCGGTTTCTCAAACTTATTTTTTGGCATATGAGGAAATGAACTGCGGTCTGGCTCTCCCAGCATACACGCGGTTTGATTGGCTAGCGCTTGTACTGGCAGATTTGCATACGCGGGATTTGATTGGCTGACGCCTCCGCCTCAGCTTCAAAAGTAGAACATTGCTCTACTTTTGCAGCGAGCACCGCGAGAAAAGCTACGCTTTGCTCCCACAATGCAGTTCGGCGAATCGTGACGTCACCCCATTCAAAGTGAATGGGCAGAAGCGTTGAAGCGTCAACGCACGCCGCTGTGTGTAGGGGCCGTTAGCCCCGCAGTCATCTGGTTCGACCTGACTATGACTGTGACTGTGTGACTGACCCGAGCCTCGTCGTTGTGATAGCTCCGCCCCTTCGCTCCAACCCCCCTCCCTCCCCCCACATCTACAGGTGAAAATTACTTTTGCGACACATTTATCGCAAGAAGTGTAGCAAAAGTCAAGGCCGCAGATTCGTCGATTTATACTGCCACAGAGCAGATTCGTGAAGTTGTAATGACTGATTTGAGAGGTTGTAATAACCAAGTTGCAGTTGTAATGGAAAATATATTATAAAAAAAAACTTTTTCTGCAAGTGAACATTTCATCACTAAGTTCATTTTTTTTCTACAAGCTACAAAACTTTTTCTTCTGTGACTTCAAATTCGGTTCACAGATACGTGGATATTTTATACAAGTGTAAATGTATGCACACAAGCTCAGATTTATTTTCTGCAAGTGCTCACATCAGGTTTTACACGCTCTCGCATTTTGCACCATATCTACCTTCATACAACGGCTCATTTAAAAATAGTTTTTCGGGGTTCGGGTGTTTTGTTTGATTTTAAA